AAAAAAAAAGAAAATACATTCTGTCAAGATTTAAAATAAAAAAGTCAAACAAGTCTAAATTGTCTTTAATTCTTCATTAGCAAATGAACAACCTGCTAAACACTAGATTCCAGGACATACCATGTCCCAGAAAGCAAACACATTCCCATGTAAAATCAAATGCCCACTTACCAACTTGCAGATTCACTGAGATGAGCTGTACTTTGTCTGGCACTTGCATTGAGAAGTAGTATCTTCTTGAGTCATTCTTTTATTTATTTCTTTATTTACTTATTTCATCATATGGGCCTCCCGTCATTAACAGTTCCCTGTAAGTACCTATGAATAGTTTAACAATAATTGCTCAGAGATAAAAATAGTAAGCAGGTAGACATTCTGAGAAAATGCCAATAACTAAGAGTGTTAAAATCAGAAATAAGACAATCCCACCCAACCTGACCTGTACATCCATACACCCACCCCCAAGAGCACCCATGGCCATTATTCCTGGAAGCTCTCCTTTTTGAAATCACTCAGTTCCCATAAAACCAAATAATACTATGTCCTGCATTTGGGCTCTACTGAACTTCCTTAGCCACAAAGCAAAGTCACAGCGCATTCTGAGCTCACTTGGTGAGACTCAGGACAATGATGATCAAAATGGGAAGCTAGACGTATCTAAGCATGACTGATGAATAGTGAGTAAATGTAAAATATGTTTCATTCAAATATTTTTAACAAAAGAATTTTCTTCCTGTAACAAAACCATGGAGAGTCAACCACAAAAGTGAATTCCTACAGTTCAAAATTTAAAAGATAATATTATAAAGAACTTTAGGATATACCAATTCACTCCTTTATTCAACCAAGTTATTAATTATATACTATCTTCTAGAGTACTGATATTAAAGAAACTCGGGTCCTCTGGAAGAACAGCAGGTGCTCGTAGGCAATGAGCTTTCTCACAGCTCCCACTAACTTTAACCAAGTTCAAAGGGGTCTCCTTCTCTTTGCTTTGGTCTTAGGGGCCAAGTATTTATGACAAACTTGAGGAGCTGCTACCCCTCAATGGTAAATAAATTTTTTTCCAGGAAAAAAAAATCCTGAGCATTACATGTAGTACATTTTGAAATATGGCCAAAGTCAATACTGCTGTAAGGCTAAAGCTCAATAGTGGCTTCCTCACGGCACTTTCTGCTAGTCATATTATTAGGAAAGAGCACAGGATAATCATCCATGAGTAAAATCCCAGGCACTTACTGACTTGAAATCAAGAAAGGCATCACTCTCTGTGGAATATAAGTAATATCTAGCTTAGCCCCTAAATCCAAAAGTTAGGGGATGAGAATATCCCAGTGCCTCAGAACTATAAAATGTCATAAAACATTAACATTGTACACCTATTAACACTCTACATCGAAAAGAATATAAATAACTCCTTAAATAATTTTTCAAACACACCACAATAAAAACCAAAGTTGCAGATGGATATCTTTAAAGACACCCACAAAGCTATTCTGATTTTACTCTTCTCTAAAAATTAGTTAATCACAGCAGTTAACTCTGAGATACCAGTCTCTGACTGACTCTAGGAATCAGCCAAGAAGCTAATGCAAATTTTAAAATATCACAGATAGCATATTGTCAACAGAGTAGACCTAAGTCTTGTATGGGCATTAAAAATAAGGAGCTAGGTAAAATGGTGGCACAGTCTTGTTTCGCTTTCCAAGCTTCATTGTAACATGGCAGAACAGAGGTAATAATGCCAACTTAGAGACTTCAGTGAGAAGCTGCTTAGCAAGGCAGCAGCATTGCCCAAAGGTAACTTGAAGGGAAGTGAATTAAAGTATTGCATCTACCTTTAGCAATGACTAGAAAAAAGTATCCCTGTATCCCATCAATAAAAGTGGTACAGAAATTTAGCCATCCATCTACTTTCTACTTTGTTTATTACCAAAGCCAGGGGATTATTTGTCATAATAAACCCTTTAGGGCCAGGAAGATGCCTCAGTGGGTTAAAGGCACCTGCCATCAAATCTGATGGCCTGCGTTCAATCCCTCGGACCCATATGGTGGAAGGAGAGAACCAACTCCTTCACACTGTCCTCGAGCTATACAAACGCGCCATGGCAAGCATGCGCCCACACACACGCATACACACATTCACACAAAATAACTAAACGGTCAGGAAAACCCCTTCAGTTACTGCAGTCTTGCCACTGGCATTGTGGTGCATTATAAGTATGCAGGAAAGAAAGAGGTGTGCCACATGCTGCCTGATAGATTTTTCAAGCAGAAAAAGAAAACTATGGGTTTGTTCTGAAACAAAGTCCCTACTCCAAGTCTCAAGTCTTCAAAGCAAGACGTCAAACTAGGGAGTGAGGCGTGGATGGAAATCAGCACTTGACTTCGGAACAAGTCCAGGCAAGGCATTCTGAGACAGCTCTCCAAGAAGAGTCCGAAAGAAGTGTGGGTGCACCAGTGTCCAAGTGTCCCACCCTTGCACCTCCAGCGGTTCAAGAATGGACTCTGTGGAAGGCTTTCAGCCACTGAATTCGAACAACGGCGGCTGCTCTTCACATGGATTTGCTGTTCTGTACACTGGTCTCATGAGTGAAATAACCACAAAGAACGCACTTCAACACTGAGCTAGAGTTACATACTTCAGTAGACTCTAACAAAAATAATAACTTGGAAGATGTAGAATGGTATCGACTAAGGACAGACCACCAAACACTGTTTCAGCCCATACAGGAGTTCTGTGGGAATCTTCACTGAGGAACATGGGAGTACAAGAACACAAAAGGCAACATTAATGTAGGGTCGGGACGGGTTCAATAATAACCTTCCTCCAAAAATAGTACCAGGAGAAAACAAACATGGTCATAGGAAGTAAAAGCCAGAAATGAAGAAGCTAAGTAAGGTTCTTCCTGGGTGTTGACCCCATGCTCTTCTAAGTAGGAAAGTGAGTAAGCCAGTGCCCTTCAAGAAGCCACTGGGCCAAGACATCCTGGGAGGAGAAAAGGAAGCTAGATTAGGTTGCCCACAGTAGCAGAATTTACCAAAACAAGTATGAGTTACGCACACTAATACTAAATGCTCCTAACGATGAAAACCTGCAGGTTTTGAACAACTCAGGAACTCTATAACCACAGAAAAAAGCCGAAGAGCAGAAACTGGAGATCACCATCAAGCACTACTAATTTGTACCTAATCTGATCAATCTATGGTGTGTGTGTGTGTGTGTGTGTGTGTGTGTGTGTGTACGCGCACTCGTGCACATGTGCACATACATGTGCAATACACAGATATCTACATCCAGCCTTTTCAGTCCTGGAAGATGCTTAATCTACCCTACGATGACTACAGAAGAAAAGGAGCCTTATAATGCAAAAGACATACCCAGAAAATGTCACAATTTACCCCAGGGAGATGTAAACCAGGAAACAAGCAAATAGACTGCCATTATAAGGTGTTTTGGGTTGGCTAGCTGCCTAAGGCATGAAAAATATGCCTATTAAAATGATACAGCTTAGCCAGGCAGTGTTTGTGCACACCTTTAATCCCAGCAGAGGCAGAGGCAGGTAGATCTCTATGAGTTCAAGGCCAGCCTGGTCTACAAAGCGAGTTCCAGGAAAGGCGCAAAGCTACATAGAGAAACCCTGTCTCAAAAAAAAACAAAAAAAAACGAGTTCCAGGACAGCAATGGCTACACATGGAAACACTGTTTCCAAATACAAAACAAAAACAAACAAAAGATACAGATTACTGGGGACTCTTAACCAACAAATCATAATCCTGACAAGACAGAAGGCGTGTTTCTTTCTACTTTTGTTTTCCATTCTCTTCCTCGCCCCCCCCCCAAATATGCCACAGAGATCAAACATTTTCAATTTCAATAAGAGCCATTTATACACTGACTGTTCCACTAGATGATAAATGAATGCTCTTTTATTTCTAGAACATTTGAAAAGTTGAGTCTAAGTCCTAATATTTGTTAAATAAGAAAGTCTACATCCCTTTGCTTTCCCAGTTATGTCTAATAAAGTTATAGTGTTCAATGTAAAACCCTATGCTGAAAACACTTCCATTGGCTCCATGTGGACATTCCCAGAGTTCTTAGTTTCTTTACTAATATATGTGCTTTTCTGATTATGATTCTGAACCACCCACTATGAACTAGATATTCAGGCAGTGAGCGAATAAGAACAAACGTCATGATCGACTGATTTCCTTTTGTCGGGATCCTAATTGCTATATTGATGTGTGGAGACTTAAGTGTTTAAATTTTCTTAATAAAACAAAGCATACTTAGATAGCAGTTTCTCTTGAACAAGTACTATTTGGTTTCATCTAGCTACAGCTCCTAAAGTACTAACAGAAATCTCCACAGTCTGAAGATGTCTAGTATAATTCTACTCTCTTACATCCAAATTGAATTCTAGAGTTCTAGAACTACAAACATATTTACATTTTTTTCCCATGAGGTAACGCTTTAAATGTCCCCTTACCATGTCAAAAGGTGTTAAATTAAAAACATGGCATTTGCCAAATAAACATGGAAAGGCTTTTAAAAAAAAAAAAAAAACAGTTTTTGGAAAACTTTAGCCTGGCTACCTAAATATATGGATGAGAAAATAAACTGGATCCCTGACCTATCCATGACCCCACAGCTGGATAGTACAGAAACCAAAAGAGAATCTGGTTTTTCTTTCCTCAACTCCAAATCGTATTTGTTTTATTTCCAACTGATTTCACACCTCTTCAAAAGCCTTACTATTGAGAGAGGGCACAACTAAGGCAAAACAGAGGACCCCTCTGAACTTTATCTGTGAATCTCAAGCGCTGGAAGAACTTAATGAGATACTGCACCAAACCCTTTCATCTAGGAACGGCTCACACTAAGCAGTCATCAAATGGCAAGTACTATTATTATCTTTTACCACAAAGTAGGTAGTGAATTTTGGGGGGGTGCACATATTAGCAGTGGGTGGAGGACCCATTTGACAAGTCTTTTTAACTTACACTTAATTACCCTTATTTGCCCTTATTTTGAGCTGCAATTTTACACTATGATTTATGACCCACCCACAATGACCTTGATTTTTTTCCCTCCCTCCTGTACTTTTATGAACTGCTAGACTGCAGTATTTTCAAGTAATAATCGACCAGGTCCTCTTAGCCCTGAAGATACAAACATCTTCCACTGACTCATAAGGGATCTTAAAATGTGACCCAAATACAGCTCGAGAAAGACCATAAATTTTAAACGATCACTGCAGTGTAAGTCCAGGTAGCGATTACAGAGAATGGTAACAAGTGCAAAAGTGCTGCCATGCGGAAAGCCATTTTCTCAAAACCACCGGTGTGGCCGAGGGAGAGGAGAGAGAAGGTCAATGGAGATGGAGGTGCACGGTTTCTCCAGGGGATCCTCTGCAGCTCCGCACCGGCAGCCTCGAAATGAATGAAACGCCGGGTCACACGGACAGCCCGGGCCCGGGGGGTGCAGGGAAGCCCGAGTCCCGGGGAGAACTCGGCGGATTTCTCTCACCACCCCCAGTCAATTCACCCGGCCCGGGAGGGGCCGCGCGGCCTCCGGGACCGATGCTCCGCGCGGCAGGAGTGGACCGCCCGCCGACCCACACTCACCGCCGCCCGCGCCGCAGCTCTCCACTCGGCTCCGCGCCTCCGCCGCCCAGGCCGGGCCGCGCTCCCCTTCCGCTTCCGGGAGCCGGGACGCCGGGACCGGCCGAGTGGGTGTCGGCATGCCCGCGCGCCCGCGCGGAGGCACGGCCGCCGTCGCCGTCGTCTCCGCTTCGCGCCCCGGAGCTGCGATGGGAGCCGCCGAGGGCCGAAAGACCTGAAAGCGCTCCGCAGCCCAGAGCCTAAGCCTACCTGCGCCTCCCCGCCCTGCTGCCCCGGCCCTGCCCAGGGGGCCCGCCTGTGTCCCCACACTCTTCCTGCATAGGACCACCCTTAGCTTTAAGCAGTGCTCTGGTCTTCTGTTAGGGGACAGACCTCTCTCCCCAGTGACAAGTTATGGATTTTTCCATATGTGCTTTGTTTCAAAATGTCTGCAACATTGACATCTCCAACATCGGCCCTTGTAGGGAATGCATAGTCTCAGGCTTGCTCATTCTATACTTGATTTTTAATGGGATCTGCAGGTGACTCCTATCAGTGCACCCCAAAGATTGAAAAGCATCAGTGTTCAGTCTTATGGCCTCTAGACCCTCTGTTGGGATGCTCCAGCCATCCAAGCTTTTTCCAGTTCTTGTTGGCAACCTAAATCCACATTCAAATAATCTCTATATGTATTTCAGGAGATCTCTATAAGTTGCCAGCTTTCCAATCAGTGAAACCTGGGAAAAATTATTGGACTCAACAGTCCAAATAACCCATCTCCCAATCTAAGTTGCTATCCTCACAAAGGCCTGAGATACAGTGGGTAAAACCTTTTGCAACTCACCCCAGCCCCTAAAACAGCAAGGTGGAAAGCTTACCACTGTTGATGGTGTGTGGAGCTAGGTGGTTATACCTACTTGACCCAGAAGGAGACAAAGTGTGAATGGGAGAGAGACTGCGTGCTGTGGGAAGTATGTACTTCTTTTTAAATGGTATTGAAAGCCTTCCAGATGGAATTCTTCCTGGTGGTACCAATTACTCAGGTCCTGGGATGACAGCTGCACTAACTTTAAACTTCCCTTCAACTAGCTGCGTCATTTCCCATAGAATCCCTGTAATTTATTTCCCTAAAATGTCTTCTCTCTCCTCTTAGATTGAGGCATGATAGGAAGAAAGAGAAAACAAGGGGACATGGGGAAGGAAAATAGAATCTCACCCTAAGATTACCTTTGGTTTCCTCTTAGCTGGGTGTCAAGAAACTATAACACAACAACGTAAAGCCAAGGCTGCCTTCAGAGATAATGCTCATTCCTCCCTCCCCCGATACATCTCAAACAACAATATTAAAAGTCACTGTGGTCACTTAGAGCCAGAATGGCTGTGGCCTTGAGTTTAACTCTATTAGCACCACTCTCTCAACTCTAAATCTATAAACAATGAACCGCATAAAACAACCTTACAATCTTATTTACAAAAAAAGACATTCTTGTTGTTCTGTTTTTGTTTTGTTCTGTTTTTTTTTTTCAAGACAGTATTTCTCTGTGTAGCCCTGGCTGTCCTGGAAACCAGGCTGCCTTGAACTCAGAGATCCACCTGCCTCTACCTCAAGGGCATTCTTTAAGATAAGAGAAATAAGTAAGTCATCCCCTTTCTTATTTTTAAGCTGTACTTAACTTTTAAACTTTGCTTAATCTTTAAACCTTGTAAATTATGTACTTTGAACAAGTTAACTTAGAAAGCTGCAGAATTATATGTGTGTGTATACACACACATACACACATATATAAACATGTATATATCATACAGACTCCTAGCATAACTGCCTCCCTGCCAACACACACACACAATCATGTCTCAGGTATGTAGTATTTATTGTCCTTTCCTCAAGCACACTCCCCCTCTTTTGTGCTTGTTTCTCTTTTTCCTCACTCCCATAATTCTACCCCCACGTGCACTTACATCTGAAGTGTGTGTTGTCCCTTATTGATACTTAATAAATTCATGCTGCCTTGGATAGTCTTTGAGTTCTTTTCTGAATGTAGTTCAGGCTTTATCTTTGTGGAAGTCCTCCAGTGACAATGCTGTATTGTATCTCCAACTAAAGACCAGCCTCCTGTCTCAGGCTCCTGAGTGGAGGGAATACAAGAGTGTGGCTCTATGTCCATCTTTTGGACATGATGCTCTTAATACTACCCAAATTGTGTGTGTGTGTGTGTGTGTGTGGAAGGCGGCTCATCTGGAACCCTGCCAACACAGAGTTCTGGGTCACTACTGAACTTGTATAGCACTTACACCTTCATATTATCATGTGCTGCTTGGGAATTGAAAATGTGTTCTTTCTGACTGCAAACACTTCATGACCTTTAAAGTCACAGGTTAATTTTTTTTTTCATGGTGTGATCCCCCAGACCAGCAGCATCTGTGTCACCTGGGAAGCTGTGAAAAATCACATTTTTCAGCCATACCCCAACCTATAGTACTAAAAGTTTTGGAGGAGAAGTCTACAAACCTGTGTTCTAACAACCAGCCAGGTGATTCAGAACACACATTTGTGGGATTGCAACTACAAAGATTGCAACTTGTGGTTTGACTCAAGGTCAGAGAGTCAGAGTTTATGTTGTTCTCCAAGGCTGCATAATGGGGTGCAAAGGCATGGTTGTCGGGTGTTTTATACTTCAAGGCCTAATCACAAGATGTTTTGCCTTGGGGCATGGTTACCAGGTATTTTGAAGGGTCTACACTTGGTTGTAGGTTGTGCTTTGTTCTTGAAAGGGGGAGGTCTTTTGCCTCTCCCCTTGGCAGTGTATAAAAAGCCCAATAGAAATAAACTTGAGGCTGCTGAGTATTGACCCAGGGCCCTCCCGAAGCTATCCTGTGTCTCTACCTTTTTTCTTCATCTATATTTCTATCCAGCATTTCTCAATTCCTCATTCCTCCCTTCAAGGAACCCTTTGATAGGTTGGGGCTGAACCCCAACACTGAACTCCAACACACATTCATGTCTTAGAATTGTTCAGCTAGACTATTACATCCTAAAGTAACCCCATGGTAGATACTGATTTGACTGAATGCAAGTTTTTTTCTGTTTCACATTAACAAGTTCCCCCTTTCACACATAGCTATGGTGTTGGAAAGCTTGTCACAGTTGCTTTTGGAATAAGTAACTTTGGTTATCATTATGCATTTGAGATAGTGAAATTTTTGTTACTTGGTTTCTTTGAATAGGCAAAAATAAAAAAAGGTGAGGGGCAACTTTGAAGGAAAATACTTAGATGAATTCCCCAAACTCAGTGACCTGAATTACATATTGTTTTGATATCTCTTCAGACATCTCTTTGGAGGGGAATAATCTGTGTCAAATGATCTTAACCACTGCCCAAAATAATTAGCTGAGACATACGAGTGCACATGAAAACTGAAAGTACACATGTTTTTTTATGCCTGTTTTCATAAATTAAACCTTCTCTAATCAGTCAAGCCAATTCCACAGAAAGTTTTCTAGCGAAAGCATGGAAGGAGGTCAGTGGCCAGAAAAACTCCCCCAACCATGAACTGCTTTAGCATGGGAAGTTAAAGAATATAGACAAAGGACCACCTCCCTCATGAGATTGCATCATCTCATCCCATGATTCATGCTAGGCATTGATTGTATTGATAGGCACATGTCAAGGTGAGTACACAGAAGAAATATGGCATCAGTAGCAGATACTTGCCTGAAGAGGTTTTTGGTTGTTACTGCTCTTGGTTTTCTTAATGTTTTGTTGCTGTCACAGTGAGGATCAAACCTGGGGCCTCAGACACGCTAGGCAAGAACTTGACCAATGAATACCATCCCCAGCCCAAGAGCCTTCCTACTTAATTTAAGCATGGAAATAGGTCACACACCCTATCTCCCTCCAGAATTCTGTTCTACTTCACGGACCTGTGATGCTGAAGCATGATTACTAATCAAACTGATTGTATCTGAGGAAAAAAAATAAACATAGACAGGGACACGTGACAGGGCTGCCACTGCCAGTGTCGTGTCTGAGAACGGCACAGGCAGAGAGCACTTGTGGAGATAAACTCCGCCAACTGCTGTGCTTCTGTGCCCATGCCAGGGAGGCCTGGGTCTGACTGCAATTTCCAAAAGTCAGTGCAGTCCAGAGTTTAATCAGCACTGGCTAATAGCCCTTGGCAGCTTTGGGTGGATGGCGTTCTCCACCTGCCCAGCTGGGTACCATGCCCTAAGCACCCACATTTGATGCACATTCATGATTTCTTGGTGGCTCTAGTCATCACTTCCATCTGTGTGAGTGGCAGAGTGCCCATTCCAGAATAGACTAATCATCTAAAAGTTGGTCTTAACCTTGTTTGGGGTAGCACATCTCTTCGAACATGTGATGGAAGTTGTAGATCCCTTCCTCAGAAAAGTGCATTCACGTGTGCGTGTGCACCCCACACACACACATGAGTGTGCACAATTATTTCATATATTTATGTATAAAGTTCTACACACTGCCCCACTTCCACATTTTAAGAGGATCACAAGGAAGTTATGAACACCAGGTTAAAAGCTTGCCCTAGGATGTTAAAAGTAGATAAAGTGAGCTTTTAAATTTCAAACAGCTAGGGAAACTCTGAAGAGCACCTCAGAAGACAAAGCGGAAGTGTTGCTGAACAGACACACGCTAAGTGCTGCTGCTGTTATGGAGAAGCCAGTAATCTCAATAGGGTGGGTCAGGGGTGGCCTCATGGTCAGGTGGCCTCATGGTCAGGGGCAGCCTCATGGAGAAGCAAAAGAGAGCAGGATGTGGGGTTTAGGGTTTGAAGTAGGGTTCAAATTTCCAGAGGAGGAAAATGTGACTGATGAACGTATGAAGACATGAAAACGTAAGGGCCCTGTGGTATGGATCACATGTAGAATAGGTAGAAAGACAGAGAAGAGAGTGGAATAAAACAGTCAAGTCATGATGAGCCACAAAAGCAAAGCTATGTCTGAAGAAGAGCCGGTGGACAGGGTCATTACCTGCTCTAAGCTGGGAAAGACTGCTGTTGAAGGCAGCATGGAAGGCAGCATCATTGTCAAAAAGCAGAGCGGCGATATGTTTGGAAGGATTTAAACGTTCTAAACTGAACCTGGTGTTTGTTTGCTGCTTACTCTGGATGTTTTGACTACATCAAATAAATATTAA